GAGGGAGGGAGGGAGGAGGTTAAATGGCTATTTTAGAAATAACAAACGATTATTTTTACAGGCCAACGACCATATTTTAAACTTTAGTAACGGCTAAAAAATTTTTTGGAATAACTTTTTTTTTAAAAAATAGTCGTTGGGCCCGTTTGAGCCCGTTTAAGACCGGTTGAACCGACCCACTTAGCAGCTGGTCCCGAGCCCAAATGGTCCCGGTCCTCACGGGCTTTTTCCGTGAACCGGCCCACTTAGCAGCCCACCCCACCTAGTCCCGGGTTTAAATGATTAGGCCCGTTTAGGCCCACTACCTATATGAGCTTGCAGGCCCGGGCCTAACCGACCCACATGCGAGCCTTATGTGGGAATATTTGTTTGTTGTTGTTGTTGTTTTCTTATTTTTGGGGATTTTCTATTATTTTTTCGTTTGTCCTTATTTGTCCTTTTATCTTTTGAGTAATTTGAATTAGGGCATAGTTAAGCATACACCACAGCACAAACCATGCAATTCATCAAATCCAAACCCATAGCTCATTCTTGCTTCAACTTCACACGCTCACTCTCCGATTTTTCAACTCTCTCCAACCTCTTACAAGGACGCATTTCCCATAATCACCTTCTACAAATCCACGCTCGGGTTTTCCGTATTGGTGCTCACCAAGACAAACTCATCGCCACCCGCCTTATTGGTCAATACCCATCAAATATTTCCCTCCGAGTACTTCACGGCCAGTTAAAAGAACCCAATCTTTTCCCCTTCAACGCCATTATCAGGGTTCTTAGTGAAGAGGGAAATTTCGCTGACGCATTCGTGGTTTTTAACAAGTTAAGATATCAGTCCCTTTTGCCTAATCAGTTGACCTTTTCGTTCCTTCTTAAAGCTTGTTCTCGTTCCGGGAATTCATATTATGTTCAACAGGTTCATTCCCTTGTTCTAAAGTTGCGTCTTGGTGATGACTCATCTGTCTTTAAAGGGTTGTTAAGCGTTTATGCTAGGAGTTTGAGAGATTTGCATTCTGCGCGTAAGCTGTTTGATGAAATGCCTGAGAAGGATGTTATTTCTTGGACTTGTTTGATTTTTGGGTATGCCAAGTTGGGTTTGTCTGAGGAAGCTTTGTGTCAATTTTTATCTATGGTAAAGAAGAGCTTGATCCCTGAAAATGATACTATGATTAGTGTGTTATCTGCATGTTCGAAACTTGATATGTCGAATATCGAGAAATGGATTGGGAACTTTTTGTATGATTTAGGAAGTTCCGGATGTGACTCTGTTAGAATTGTTCTTGTTTACTTGTATGGAAAGTGGGGAAAGGTTGATAAGAGTCGGGAAATATTTGAACAAATTTCTGGTGATGGGAAGAGAAGTGTGCTTCCTTGGAATGCTATGATAGGCGCATATGTTCAGAATGGCTGTGCGTTAGAGGGTTTAAGTCTTTTCCAGTTGATGATGGAGCTTAATTGTTGTTGCCCCAATCATGTGACAATGGTTAATGTGCTCTCAGCTTGTGCTCAAGTTGGTAATTTGTACCTTGGTTTGTGGGTTCACGAGTACATGAAAGGTAGTAGGCAAAAAGGGTTTTTACTTTCAAATGCAAATCTTGCAACTGCTTTGATAGATATGTACTCTAAATGCGGTAGTTTAGAGAAAGCAGGAGATGTTTTTGACCAATTGGTTGTAAAAGATGTTGTTTCATTCAATGCTATGATCATGGGTCTTGCAATAAATGGTAAAGGCATGGAGGCGTTAAAACTTTTCTCGCAAATGTTAGAGCTTAATTTGCGTCCGAATGCTAGAACATTCCTTGGTTTGCTATGTGCTTGCAGTCACTCAGGTTTGACAGCAGAAGGCCGTCAGATATTTAAGGAAATGAGCCATTGTTTTTGTATTGCTCCTGGATTGGAACATTATGCTAGCTATATTGATCTTCTCGCTCGAGTAGGTTATGTTGAGGAAGCACTTCAAGTTGCTACCTCAATGCCTTTTAAACCCAATAATTTTGTATGGGGAGCTTTGCTTGGTGGCTGCATGCTGCACAACAGATTGGAACTAGCCCAAATTATTTCCTCCATTCTTGTGGAGGTGGACCCTAACAATTCTGCTGGCTATGTGATGTTGTCCAATACATATGCCAGTGATCAACGCTGGAGCGCTATTTCACGACTGAGGCTGTCAATGAAGGAAAAGGGAGTAGCAAAGATGCCAGGATGTAGTTGGATTAACATTGCCGGAGTAGCGCATGAATTTCTGGCTGGGTCCTCCTCACATCCTCAGAATGAAAGCATGCATGGCATATTGCAGGTGTTACTGAAGGAGATGAAGCTAGCAAGTATTTAGACAACTCACAAGCATATTATCATTGAGGAGTTACTATGAGAAGCACACTCTTTCTACCATATGGGTTTGCGGACATAAAGAATGGGCTTGGTGGGATAGAGCTGCATTAAAGATCTCTGTTGTTTAGATAGGATATGCGGACTCTCTGGAAGGCACTAGGCTAGTGGATTCTGTCGCTTGGTTTCATGGGGCTATCTATTTGCAGCATTGACTGTCACAGGTACTCTCTTGGAAATAACTCCTCCATTACACCATTTCATCTCTTTTTAGCAGCTGCTGGTTCCAATAAATGTGGTAGAGCCTTTGTCTTCAGCTGATGCATGATTCTGCTGCGTGATCCTTTAATTTTGTTGCGCTGATACACAGTGGAGTTATTTCTGGACTTCAGATGGCTGCCTTTATGCACTTTTTAGACCAGTAACATCAGGTATATTTTTCATTTTATTTTCCAGTGGGATTGTTTTTAACTTCAATTTATAAACTATGGCCCATACTTCCTGATGCAATTACTAAAACAAATATATTGGTTATGGAAGGATACTTGTTTGAGCTTCCTGATACAGTCAGAACAATTTCGAAAGTCTGCAATGAAGCCTGCAAGTGTGGAGCATTAGTTGCCATCACAGCATCAGATGTATCCTGCATTGAGAGACATTATGAATATGATGATTACTGGTAAAACCTTGTTTTCTATCTTGCATCTGCATAATAGAGCTGAACAACCCCCC